AGATTACTTTCCTAGGGGAAGTTTAAAAACTTTATAATATGCGACGCCGATCTTGACAGTGAATAATAGTCACTAGTTAGACAACAGACCTGTCTACAGGACAGCCAAAGCAACCTGTTGATGGTTTCCAGCGATGAAAAAACATTCAAATTCACAGTTAAATGTACACACTATTTCCCTCCGCATGCACTGTAGGTTGCCAACAATCCTGTTACAAATACACCCTGTACACTATAAGAGAACAAATTACAATAACAGGCATTTTATGCGAAAAGTATATTGCAAAAACGTAGCAAAAAATTACTTTCAAGTGGTGAAATTATCATTTTAACTTCGCCATCTTTTGCGAACAATTTTGAAGACTGTTACTTTTTTCATGAATTTTATAAACGACAATAAAAATTGAAATAAAGTTACTGATACATTATTTCTATTGTTTGACAATTTTTTGCTATTAAAATTTTCTCGTAAATGTCTGATTTCAGTTTGAGCTTTCACTAGATGGCATTAAATTATCGCCAGAAAAAGATGCATATACTGTAGTGCAGTTGAAAGGAACATTTACCATTCTGACTTAGAAGTTTCTTTTTTGTTACCAGCCGGTTACTTTTCTAAAACGTTATTGACCTACTTCGCTAACAAAAAATTGTCCACTTTGGTAAATAAAACGTAATAATTTGGTTTATCAGTAGTAACGATCGTGCCCAAACAATTTATTGTCTCTCTGATAGTTGCGAATACGTTAATATACGATGATAACTGCTACAGGTTAGTTTAATATTAGGCAATAATTTTCTAGAGTACTATTTGTAAAACGTGAAATACAGTAATCATTGCCACAATAAAATTTTTGAAAAATATTCTTTTATAAATTCTTCGATACAGGCAACCTAAAATATAAAGCAGCTGGCAAGTTATGCATCGTAGAAAAGATCTTCCACGGCGATGAGCAAACGGTGTTATTCCGCAAATATCCGAAACCCTCAAGCACACTCGGCTGAAAACAGAAAACTTTTCAACCGTATCTCGGAGATCCCTTTATGATTGTATTGAATTCTTGATGGCAGATATCGCGAACAACCTTCCTTTACAATTTTATAGATCGGTTTTCCTCCGACTATTTAGCCGTTAACATTGTTTATGGGCAATATGTGGTTTATGAGCCGACATGCAAGCACAGTTTAAAGACTGGCTGTAAGTTCCGCCATGGTAGTTTTATAGTTTTAATGGCGCTTTTACTTCTATTAATGCAAATAAATTTGATTGATGTTAAAGTGGATTGTAAAGTGGCGATGATTAACCAAAATTTGCCCAATGGCAGCCTAGGAAAGACTTTATTCCGGCAGTTAGAGATTTAATGAAGCTTGCCCGAATATGGGAATATAAAAGGAGAATAATTTTTATCACTACATTTTTCTGTGTATAGGGTGTTGAAATAAAAAATATTCTCTGATTAGCTCTCGTATTTTTACTCTTTTGTAAAAGTAGGTGTTTAGTTACTCAAATTCAAAATTTTTTCTAAAAAATCTTCAAATGAAGTCAAACATTCATCGATATTAGAAATTTGGATATGCAAAAGTCAAGAATCATGTCTGTAAATAATGAATAATTTTAACTATTTACTAGATATCGGGGGATATTCTCTGATTAGCTCTCGTATTTTGACTCATTTGTAAAAGTAGGTATTTAGTTACTAAAATTCAAAGATTTTTCTAAAAAATCTTCAAATGAAGTCAAACATTCATTGATATTAGAAATTTAGATATGCAAAAGTCAAGAATCATGTCTGTGAATAATGAATAATTTTAACTATTTACTAGATATCGGGGGTGTATTCAATATTGTTCAGAACATTAGTTCGCAGAGTAGTTGTTTCCCACAATATCCTTGAAATTAATTTTTGCGTAACTAATGAAGGAGATATTTTTTCGCGATTTCACTAAATAAACTAAAACACAATACAAATGTACTCAACAGTTCTTCAAAACTTAAAAATTAATGACACGAAAATGGCTTGTGTTTCTTAAAATAACCTTAGGAATTACACTACCAAATTTTCAAAAAAACTCATTAGCTTCAAAATCCTGGAGTTCTTAGTAACAGCAGTAACAGTGACTTTTAATATATCCAACATTGGTAGATACCTACTATTTAATGGATTTTACCTTTAATTAATTATATCATTAGCTCACCATCTATAAATTTAAGTCAGACATCGTCAGATATTTCTAACTTCAACACTTATGTATCTTTAAAACTAGTCGCTTCAAATCCTTGCCTCATTAAGGTTTTTTGGTTTAAAATGGTCCAGAAAACTATATCAAGTTACAACAGACTTAGAAAACACTAAAAAATTTCATCATGGTCATCTGACGAGAAATTTTAAAACTAAACACGAAGAAATAAAGTTAGGAAATAATAGGAATTTACAGTTTAAACCGCTGTACAAAAATCGACGCATACTGAGATATATAGGCCAGGTAAAAAGCTGGGAAATGACCATTTCGCGACTTTTTGTTTCGGCAAGCTGAATTTATCACTATAGATGCTAAATATTATGTACAACATATTAGTTTCCACAGTCATAAAAATGGGGGAAGATTATTTACAGGGTGGTTAATTGTATAATTTTACGTAAATTCACGTTTTTCGCTTATAACTTTTTTCTGTTCATTTCCACGAGAAAACAGTAAAGTACTTTTTCTTCGTCTTCAAAAGACCTATAAAACTAGACTTGAGCGTCAAAAAATATTGATTAGATCAAAAGTTATAAACAGAAGAAGTTTATTTATGACTTTTGAATTAAACATTTATAAACTGCGTTATTATTGCCAGAACATTTTGGCATCGCATCCTCTCATTCCTTATAACTGTCTAATAACTCACACGATATCTGGAATCGGTAAGTTGAATAGTTTACAAGTAATGGCCTTATAAACAAATTAACTAATTATTAGTCTGGACGATCCCGAGGATCTTCCACAATTGTAATGATTTCTTTCATAGTAGATTTCATAATAATACATTGAAATCTATAATTTTTTTTTATTTCAAATTTGCAACCTGGAATTTTTTTTTATTTTTCAGCCTTAGTTGCAAAATGAAATATACGACGCACAAGCGTGATATAGTCATATATTATTATATATTCGGAAAGCTTATGAAAAGAGCTTTAAGTTAAAAAAAAATCGTCAAGATTCGTTAAAAAACAACGGAGTTACAAACTGTCAAATATATTATTTTCAAGCGAATTTCGCTTATTTAACGCGTCCAACTCTATATACTGGCCTAATACGAGTAGTAACATATGTTTAACTTTTAGTTGTACACTTCTTGATTGATGTTTAACTGATTGATAGATTTCTGTTAATAATTGAGCTGACATAGATGTGAGGGCCCAAAAAATAGCAACCTACATATTGTACCGACATACAATTAATTAATTTGCCTTAATATATCAAGTATCTAAAATTGTTTAAAAGATAGATCAAAAAGTCTACATCCAGAAAATTATATCTACGTAGATGTTGACTTCTAACTAGAATAGTGATTAAAATTTAATTATATTAGATTACTTCTAAATATTAAGCTATTTGTAAATGATTACGTAGAAAATGTAGGTAGACGCAATTTCCTCAGGCTTGTGACAAATTATTAGTGTGAATAGAACACTTTATTTCGATGCTTTACTGATAGATTAGGATATTAGCAGTAGAATAATATGTAACAACTCAGAAACTAAACACCGTCTTTCGTAATTTCTACGTCTCTATTCTTCATTAAGTTCACACACGTGTGACGTCATGTACAACACTGTTGCTAGTTTTTCTAGATTTCCCACATTTTTCTACCCAAAAAACTTCACCTACCAAGTTTTATTCAAATATCTTAAAAAATAAGGGAGATTTTGTAAAAAATTAAAAGAAAAAACTTTTTCCATGGGTCATAACTCAAGGAAGCTGTTGCTGAAGTATCACCTATTTTTTCCGGACACCCTGTATTGTTATTATTATTACATGTACTATGTATGATAAAAACTATTTCCGTTTTCATTCTTGAAGTAAGAAAATTGATCCTTTTCTAACAGAGCATTAGAAAATGACTTTGATGCTGAAGGAAAAAAACACTGAGTTCATGAACTTATCTTTATTATTTTTATTACTCCGGTATATGGCCAGGTATCCTCGCAACATAGTCTGACTTATCGAGCCATTAGAGCTTTTGGCGTTATATGAACGTGAACGAACTAGGACGGGTGCCCTTATACCCATTTCTTGATACAAGTTTCATATTACTTAAACTTTAGGGGATGATCATCACATCACAATTATTCTCGTGTTTGTTGAGATAACGTTCTCTTAGATGTGTCTGTTTACTCAACAAATTCAATTTCGAAAGAATAACGATGACAGTAATTGCCCAGAACACCAAATTCCTATTAAGTAACAGGAGCAGCAATTTTTACTTTGTTGATTTGAAATATGTTGGTTATAGACTTTATTATCGATAGACTATAGACAATTTATTATTTTTTTATTATTGGGAATCATCGCAATTATATATTCTCTCAGTTTTTCCTAGAAAAAGAAATTAATTTTAATATATCAGTTGATCCTTCTTATATTTAACAAAATATTTCTATTTAATAAACCTTGAAATATATTTATTCTCTATTTTTTTAATCACTATTTTTGAACACTCTTCTCACGTTTTATTCAGGTACCAAATATTCTATGACCTTGACAAATTTACGAGCACAGTAATTTAAGAAAATAGTAAATCCTTTCTTTATACAAGCACATATTTTGTCAATTTGTATGTCAATACAACCCGGCTCGTATCTACCTGTTTAAAATTTGTTATGCATGGGAACCTATACTCTGTGAAATAATCCTATTTAAAACAAGAAACTAAAACTTACTATCCTATAGGGAGTATGACCCATGTAAATTTGTAATTCACTTCAGATGCGTTGTATTAAATCCCTTCATTTGTTACAGGATGTTCCGGTAATCCAGATGCCAAACGTCTCTACGATGACTTACTCTCAAATTATAATAAATTGGTGCGACCCGTCGTTAACGTTACAGATGCTCTCACCGTTAAAATTAAGCTCAAGTTATCTCAACTCATTGATGTTGTAAGTATCAAATTACCATTACATACAAAGTAAGCAAAGCTGAAGTTATATTATTATCTAGTTTTGGAAACATTAATCAACACAAATTATTGCGGCAAATTAAATGAAATTATTTAGTTTTTAGTATTTTAAAATTCATGTAAGCTGATTAAGTAAACGGAATGCTATCAAAAAATCTGGGCTAATTGTAAGTTACTTTTGAAAAGAATGATATTGAATTCACTTTTATCCCCACAAAAAAAAACAAAAAGACGAGAGTAACATTTTTTCCTGAAAGGATTCCTATATGGATACCTTCTTCTAAAATGTTAACAAATAGTAATCAGTGGCGTCAGAATTATGTGGGGTCCGACGAATTGCAATAATTACAAAAAGGATATTTGAGTCAAAGGAATTTTTTTTTACAGATTTGTGTGAACCATTTCCAGTCTAACATTCTGCTCCTTTTAATTTTATTTGGCAGAATGCATTGTTTAATGTTTAAATCATAAAACCTTCAGACTGATTCTTCATTGTTTCTTTAGAAATTGATTGAACAGTGTGTTTAACTTTCAATCTATCATGTCATATATAGGGTGTTCCTAAATAAGTGTCACAACGGAAATCTGTAAATTCCTCTTGAAAAAAGAAACATTTATTTCCTTTTCCATTTTTCTCTCCGGGCTTTCGTTTTCGAGATACACGGTGTCAAAACTTTAATTTTTTTTTAGTTTTTCGCCAATATCTTAGGAATCGTTTGAACTACAGGACTGAGCTTTTGTACACACATTATCATTATTAATAGCTACTTTTTCGCACCCTTCTCGAATTCATTGGACGTGCCAGTGGTAGAGATTTCAAGGTATCGTAAGGGTTTCCCCCCCCCTAAATTTTATGCCACTGGAAAAATTGACTTTTGACAGCAAATTCTAAAGCGCCAATGAATTTTACACAATAAGAGTTCTCTTGGTTCATTGCTCTAAAGTCAACCGTTTTCAAGAAAAATGACTTTTTATGAACAAAAGCAAACATTTTGCTAACATTCCATGTCAATACTATCGAAAAGTTGACCGATAGAGGTGAAGCCGCAGCGGCAGAAAGAAACATGATTAGAAGATGTAATGCGTGCATTCAAGCCAACGGACGTAATTTTGATCAGTTTCTGTAAATTTTACTCGCCAAATTGATAAAAAAAAGTTAAAATCCTATCTGTTGTTAAATTTCGTTAAAATTGTTAATTATTACTACCTATTTTTTGAATTACAAAAGATTTTCGAAACGTTAGCAAAATGTTTGCTTTTGTTCATAAAAAGTCAATTTTCTTGAAAACGGTTGACTTTAGAGCAATGAACCAAGGGAACTCTTATTGTGTAAAATTCATTGGCGCTTAAGAATGTGCTGTCAAAAGTCAATTTTTCCAGTGGCGTAAAATTTAAGGGGGGGGGGGAAACCCTTACTATGCCTTAAAATCTCCACCACTGGCACGTCCAATGAATTCGAGAAGGGTGCGAAAAAGTAGCTATTAATAGTGGTAATGTGTGTACAAAAACTCAGTCCTGTAGTTCAAACGATTCCTAAGATATTGGCGAAAAACTCAAAAAAAATTAAAGTTTTGACACCGTGTATCTCGAAAGCGAAAGCCCGGAGTGAAAAATGGAAGAGGAAAAAAGTGTTTCTTTTTTCAAGAGGAATTTACAGTTTTTTGTTGCGACATTTATTTAGAAACACCCTGTATATATCATGAACCTGGTTAATAAAAAACTTATTTTTTGTTATAATGAGTGATATTATCCCTGAAAAGTTTTCGCTTATATTAAGCGATAGAGGTCCAAACCAAACTTCCAAATCTCCTTCCTTTAATAAAATGGATGGTTTGGCATATAATTTGTATAAACAAGGCTTATCACATTTTCAATATACGCCACTGTAAATATGCAATGGATAACTTTCATATATTTTTCTATATGTCTGGAAATAATCAGTAACCTTATATAGGTAATCATGTATTAAAAATATTAGAAATATTTTAGAATATGTTAATTAATAATTATTTAGTTTGGCGCGAAAACCAATAAAGTTTTAAACGGGTGTTCGTGCTGCGCTAATTCGTGACGTCATTTAGTGCGATCGAGAATCGAGAAGTCGGGGCAGGACGGCCCACAGCATTTACTTCCAGGCTCCGCACATTCACGTTTGTTTAGATTAGGTTACTCGTCGCGTCGGCATGGGAATTGTTGACAAGACATCGGACGGCCAAGAAGCAGGTTGTGTTCTCGGTCGCACTAAATGACGTCACAATTCTTTCTTGAGCACATAACATTATTTAAATTTTTTCATTTTAAACATCTGTTATTAATGTCTAAATTAAAAAAAATATTTTTTTTCACTGTTTGTTGTCACAAATTTATGCAGCTTCTGAAGGAAATTAAATTTTTATGCAAGCTGCATATTAATTAACTAGTTAAGAGTTGGTGGATATCATAGTAATAACAGCCGTTCATGCACTTAAAATTTAGGGTTATTACTGAGTAAATGCGTTTTAATTATTATCTATCGAGGAAAACACGAAACAAAATGTAATACTGCAAAATAATGTGACATTTATTGATAATAACCCATTAGAATCCCATATTTCAGTGGCTTTTAATTGATTTTGGAAATATGCATTTATTTATGCCTACGATAATGCTCGTTTTACAGTTTTCAACCCTGATTTTATAGTAGGTACCCATTTAATAATAAAGTTAATATACATATACATATGTATACTTTACGCTATATCCACCTACTAATTTATTAGCGTCCATTATTATCTCTTCTCTAGTAACATTGCTACACAGTTATCATCCTTATATAAAATAAAGTTTATATCGCTATTTACTTCTTTAGCTTGTTCATTATTTTTAAAGAAACTAAAATATTTTGAGATATAACTGCAAATTGACTATTTCGAAAGGAACAGAATCCCAATATTTGAAACTCACACGAAATATTTTGGCATAGATGGTTTCATATGGACACAGAGCACATATTTTTGTAATTAATAAGTGTAAATACTTTGCTGGAATATGCATATTCAACCTATACTGTTCTTCGTAATAATGTCCAAACAACACAGGGTAACGTTAAGCAGTGGTTTTTGGCAAATAAAGTGTATCTCAATCACAACAAAACTCAATCTATTTTGTTTACTTTGCGTTATGTGCATGATGAGTTCACCAATTGCGCCTAGCAAGTGAAATTTCTCGGAGTGAACATTGATCGCCAAATGTCTTGGAAGCAACATATCGACGAGTTATCTAAAAAACTATCTAGAAAGATGTTCCTGATCAGAAGCCTTGTTAATTCTGTTTCGATAAAAACAATGCTGTCAGCCTATTATGGTTTTTTTCACTCACATCTGTGCTATGCTATTTTGAATTAGGGTCATTCTTGTCAAGCAGATACAATTTTTAAATTACAACGCAAATGTATTAGCATTATTGCTGGGTTTCGCTATAGAGCGGATTGTAAACAACAATTTAAGAAATATGGCATACTTACACTATCAAGTGTCTATATCTTAGAATGTCTCTTGTACATTAAGGAAAATATCCATATGTTTCGTCATTATCCTACTAGAAACAGGTACAATATAAACCCTGTTCCTCTTAGACTAAGTAGAACTAGAGTCGGTTCTAATTACTATTGCGTGCGCTTTTTTAATATGCTACCTGAAGCAATTAGGTCCTTGTGTAATGCTCACTATAAAATGAGAATAAAGAATATTCTTAAAATGAAGGCTTTTTACTCATTTGATGATTATTTTAATGATGATTTTGTTGCTCTTGTAATGTGTCTGCTGTGTATTTCTTTATGTATTTTGTAATAGTGCCTTTTTTGTATCTATATTATTTATTTGTAGTATTTTTTTTAATGATTTATTCACATATCTGTGCTTTAGTTTAAATCTATTTTTAATGACTGATACTTTTGGTGTCATATTTCTTTTGTGACTTGTGTAAACATTTATATTATGTTCTGACATCAATAAATTATTATTATTATTATTATACTGGTGGACCTACCTTGAAACTGTTGAAAAAAGGGTAAAATGTTCACCTCACGGTAAACGTACTAGAAACTAAGAAGTACTGATTAAAATTGTAGTCATAAATTTATCTTTCTGACTTAAGTGCAGAAAGATGTGAGCAACATATTTTAAAATACCTAATGTGACAATATAAAAAAGTGACATAACTTTGTTTTGTAGGTTTTGAGAATATGTGTCTATATTCACTATGCGCACTGGCCCACGGCGTTCCAGCGCTTAGCTTCTATTTACCGGTTCTGCCCTTGAATTTTGCGGACATGTTTGTTCCAAATTTCGGGTAGTTGTTACTCCTCGTCTAGACGAAAATTATCTTGATTCTTCTGGATTTCTATTACCTATAGAGTAATTACTGTTTTGTTTCGTTGTTATTCTTCAAGTGACACTTGCGTTTCTTTAACTCTACGTGAAATGCCGTATATAACAGGAATTTTACAGAAGATCGTATCTTCAGAAATAATATATTATCGTCTCTCAGTACATCCTTGTATACAGGGTGTCAGGGTGAAAGAAGTTTAACTGCTATTACTTCAGCATAAGATGGAGTAATCATAAATGAACAAAAAAGTTGTGTATTACAGGGCACAAGATTAACAGTTTCCAAAATACAGCGAGTATTATTATTGAGGAGTTTCATCACAAAGTGACAACAGCGCTTAACCTAACGCTACATAGCTGATCCATACCACGTGTGCACGAGGCAGACTTGTCCTACGGAAAAAATGTAAACAACTATTATTGTGAAACATTTAGTAAATATCAAGACAATTAATTGTTTTCCAGTTTTTAAATAAATAAAATAAAATTTATCGATTTTGTAGTACGAAGATAGTGTTGTGCTTTTAATTTTAGCTCGAATTTTAGTAATTATGAATCTCTTAAATCAGGAACTTAACTTTTAATCAGATTATGAATTTGAAAATTATGTCAT